TTCCGAGCCTTGTGAGAAGGCCTGCCTCCTCTTGCTTTCACCAGGGCTGGCCGCCGATAGGCCTCCCAGATGGGGTGGGAGCTGGGATGGGGCGATGAGCATAGTGGATCATCTTGTGAGGAATAAGACGCACGAAGCCGAACAAATGCACGGGGGAAGGGCGTCCGAGCGATGGCAAGGAGGAGGGATGAGGTCAGAGGAGGAAGAGGTTCTATGCCTCCCAGATGGGGTCGGAGTAGATGGAGTCGGAGGATCGCGCCGCATCGCCGATGCATCGGCGATGCGGCTCGATGTGGAGCCCGGTCTTCTCCACGCAGACGTCGCCGCTGCATCGCAGACGTCGCCGATGCATCGATGCGGCGCGATCCTCCGACCCCATCTGCTCGGACTCCGTACGGGAGGCCTCTGAGCCGACGGCGATGATCCCCCACTTGCTCGCGTTGCGCAAAACCCAGACCCCCTCGAGTCACGCAAAAATCGCGAGGTGAGTTTTACAGCGGTCGTCTTTGGATGGGCAGCTAATGGGAACCAGCACAGATCCCACGTGCGCAACGGTGGGGCGAGGTGCGCCACGCGTGCCAGGTGTGCCACCAGGTGCGCCAGGCACCCCTGTGGCCCAAGCGTGCCAGGCACGCCTGGTGCGCCAGATGCGCCACGTGCTCCAGCCGCGCCAGGTGCGCCACGTTCGGGGCACGCGCAGAGTATGCCAGGTGCGCCTGCGCATGTGGCAGTACAAATCGGGAAACGTGTCGTCCCCCACCACCCTTGTCGAAAACGAATCCGCAATCGCGGAGGGGTGACCATAATAGTGTCTGGTGGGCCAGGCAATATGCCAGTACCACTGCCGACCCAGTCAAAAGCCAGTGCACAGTGATATCGGGCTGCCCGCGCATGACCCAAATTTTGCCTCGACGTTTTTTTTTCATTGCTGTTGACAGGGATGTGGTCCTGCGCGCACCAGGCAATATGCGGATACCCGCCGTCCCTATCAAACAACATCAAATCAAAGTGCTTGCGCCACCCCGCCCATGACCCAAGATTTTGCCCTGAAGTGGGCTGCACATTGTTTTTTGACAGGATTGCGGGGTGGGGGTCCTCATTGGTCCTGGTTGGCTGCCGGTTGTCTGGGGGAAGGGGTGTTAATTCATAGGGAACAGTGATAAACCTTTCCCCGAAGGGGGAGACGGGGGTTGGAAGAGGAAACCCTCTAAACCACTCACGCCCTAATGGGCTGATAGGATTACCCAGATCTCCGGCGATGCATGGAATCATCCAGTGCTTGCGGAAGTTTCAAATTCGAAAGTAGGTCCCAAACCGCTTCCTTGGCCTTCTTTGGCCTCCCGTGAGGCAGCTTTGGAGATCCCTTGACGCCCTCTTGGGCCGTTGTGACGGCCACTTACGCCGTCTTTGGGTTCTCTGGAGCCGTCTTGGGGCCCTTCTGGCTGTGTGTCGGGAGTCTGCCGCCCTCGTAGAACCGTCTGGGCGCCGTCTCAGGCCGTCGAAAGCCTGGCCAGGCCCTCTAGTGCCGTCTGGCGGCCGTCTTGGATGCCTCTTAGGCCATAGGTCCTTTTGGGGCCTTCTTAGGCTGTCTTGGGGTCCTCGTGGAGGCTTCGTGGGCCGTCTTGAGCTGGCGACCGCCCGAAGGCGAGAATGTGAAAACCATGCAATAACCAACAGACATCAATGATTGTGGCCTCTTCGGATCCTGTGTGGGGTCCTCTTTCTTATGGTACTTTTGGGCCCTCTTGGAGGCGCCTTGCGCCGTCTTGAAGGCATGGGAATGCGGGAAGTGCGCGATCCTCGAGCGGGTGCGCGTGAGATGAGAGGTCCAGGAAGAGGCAGCCATGCGGGGAGCACACAATCTCTGGGCGCGCGCACGGGGAGTGCGGGCTCAGGCGCTCGCCGCCCTGCGGGAAGGGCGCCATCCCTCGATCGCGCACGCGTAGAATGGGGATTTAGGCACTCGCTGCCTGGAGCGGGCACGAGAGGGCAGCGGCCGCGGCAAGGCGGGGCGGCGCCTGCAGCACTCCGCGGGCGGCGCGGGGGGGGCGCGGCCCCTCACGTGATCGCGAGCACGCCCTCTCGGGCAGCCCCTGGCACTCCGCGCCTCCGCGTGCCATGGGGGCACGGTGGCGGCTCGTGTTTTTGCAGCGTGCCGTGCTGGACGTCCTGGGAGGGGGGCGGGCACTGTGCCGAGGACGGCGCGGGCGAGGATGAGGACGGTGGTGAAGAGGGAGAGGGGGGGTGCAGGGCTCGTTTCGATCCCTCCGGTTGGATTCGATTGGACCTCGATGGTTTCCGATTCCGCTTCGACTCGGCTTGGATTTCCGATTTGGGCTCCGATGTCTCGTTGGAGGCACACCAGCCCGCCGACTTCCGCCGATTCCGCTCTTCGCGACCCGGCTGCCGCTCTCCGCCGATTCCGCGATGGCTTTCGCTCCCCGATCCGACCCTTGTCGATGCGAGTCCGGGGCTCGAGGGAGGGAGGGAGGGAGGGAGGGAGGAGCGGGAGGGTAGGGAGGGGGGGGGGGGGGAGGGGGGGAGGGGGGGAGGGAGGGAGGGAGGGAGGGAGGGGGGAGGGGGCACGTCCCCGCCGCCCAGGCGCACGAGTGCGGCGCTGGCGCGCCCGAGGAGCCCAGCTGGGCGAGGCACCTGGGCGCCGTGCTCGACCGCAGGGGCTTCGGGGCGGGCCTGGGACAGGCCGCCGAGGGGCGCCAGAAGCGGGGCCCCCGTGCGCCGGCCCTGGCGGGGGTCGACCCTGGGGCTCGGGGTCGGTGCGCGTGTGTGCGTGTGCGTGCGTGCGTGCGTGCGTGTGTGCGTGTGTGTGTGTGTGCGCGTGCGCGTGCGTGCGCGCGCGCGCGCGTGTGTGTGTGTGTGTGTGTGTGTGTGTGTGTGTGTGTGTGTGTGTGTGCGGGGGGGGGGGGTCATGAGGCGTAATCCAGCCCCTGACCCTAGCAGCAGGTCGGGCGTGTCCTCCTGCAGGCGGAGTTCGGGCGGGAATATTCAAAAGCAGTCCAAAATGCACCCGAATAGTCGAACATGCTAAACAAGTCGTCCCCAGAGTATTTTTGGACTATTTTCGAAGATTCCTCCTGCTGACGGACATGCCCGACTTCACCCTAGTAACGCAATGAATTCGTGGCCTAACTTAAGTCCACAGTTTTTAGAGATATCCCGAACCATAATGTGGGTGGTTTCGTCTGAGCCGCCTGCAAAACTGGCCCCCGATCCCTAATCTATTTCTGGCCCTCATAACTCAGGTCTCCTCCCGAAGGGTTAGTGGGTACTTGTATTGCTCACCATATTTTTTCTGTGTGTTCGTGTTTGTGTGTTTGCGTGCTTGTTTTTTTTTGTTTTTGTGTGTGTGTGTTTTTGTGTGTGTGTGTGTGTGTCTGTGTGTGTGTGTGTGTGTGTGTTCGGGTATGGCCAGGACCCCAGGTAAGGGGACCGGGTTAGTGGTAGGGCCCCAGAGCCCCCGAATCGGCCAGAATCACTAGACCAGGTTTGCCGCAGGTGGTGTTTTGCCGGGTTGCGGCAGTTCCGGTCAGTGGAACGGGGCGGGGGGGGGGGCGCCCCCCAGTGCGCATCACGAAACCAGGTCCCACTTAAACCCAGTCCTGCCAGCGCCCGCTGTGTGTGTCCTCTTCCGCTGGGCGCGCCCTCGCCGCAGCAGCTGCCTGCCTGGCTCCGCCTCGCCCGCTCCGCCCTCGGAAGGGGGCTGCGGGCGGTGGTGTTTTTTTTTTGTTCGGGGCCGCTCCCGCGCCGTGTCCTGGCAGCGCGGCCGCAGCCCGCTGGCTGCGTGTCGTCATCCTCCTCGCGCATTGGCTCTGGCCTTACGTCGGGCGTGTCCCTCCGCACAGGAGGAGGTTTCGAAAATAGTCCAGATAATCAGGGGACGATGTTCGACTATTTGTGATTTCTGTTTGACTATGTTTTGAGGTATTCTTGTATCTTTTCGTCCAAAATCGGCCTGTAGGGGGACATGCCCGACCTAACTCTGGCCCTCTCCTTCACTGCGTGCGTCAGCCACGTCGTGACCATACACGGGCAAAGGCTCGGAGGCAATCGATCCAGGCGCGCCCCGCCCCAGAACTCGCTGCGTTGGGCAAGCCGGCAGGCAAGTTGAAACGCGTGTTTTGTCTCACCAAGGGCTCCCACGAGGGCGCAAAGTTATTCGCGTTTCGCGGTCCTCGTACCTTCTCCCCCTCCTCCTCGTCCTCCTTTTCTCCCTTTTGGGGGGCGGCGCGAGAGCGTGAAGTTATCCCCTCTTCGCGCTTCGCGGAGCGCGAAGCGCGAAGTTGGGGGCCCTGGCTTTTCCTCCTCCGCCGCCCTGTCAGCCCAGGTGCCGACACCGACGCCCACCTTGCCCGAGAGCCGAATCTCTTTCTCTCGCCTTCCTCCTGCGGCTCCCCGGGCGGGCCGGGCTCCCCGACTCTCCCCTCCCTCACGCAGCATCTGCCCTCCCTGGCGCGCCGATCCGGGGTCGGGGGGGGGCGGGGGAGGCGTCGTGCTCGATCTGGCCCGCACCCGGGTCGGCCGCCGCTCCCTTGGACGGCCTGAGAGCCGAATCTTTCTCTCGTCTTCATCCTGCAGCTCTCGGGCGGGCCAGGCTCCCCGACTCTCCCCTCCCTCACGCACCGAGCGCGTCTCGCTACTCGCAGAGTGCCTGCTCGCAGGCGTCCGAAACGCACACGTCTGCCTCGATGTAATGTATCGCGGACTCCCCATGGTGGATCCAGGCCAGTTGCGAGTAGTTACTTTGCGAGTCGTGGCAGGCGCTTGTCTACTCACACAGCATGTGCCCCCCTGGCGCGCCGATCTTGGGTCGGGGGGGGGGCGTCATACTCGATCTCGCCCGCACTCGGGCCGGCCGCCGCTCCCTGGACGGCCCCAAGCACGGCCCAGGTTCGGCGAGGTGTCTGCGGGAGGGGCTCGCGTCGAATTCCAGGCGGGCCCCCGCACGTTCTGCTGACGGCCCTGTCGGGCGCACTTGCTTGGCATGGCTCGGACGTGTGCATTTTTCCTTCGGCGAGGACCATCGAGGAGCATCCTTGATCATTTGGCGAAGAAGCCGCGCACGAAACCGAACGAACAAAAACACAGGGAATGGACGTCCGAGCGATGGCCAGCTTGAGCCCCCCCAGCTGGAGTGTTCGTCTCCCCGACGGTGCCCACGATGGGCCTTGCCGGGATCGGTGCAGGCTGTACGGTCCCGGACGCCCCCGGATGTGCTGTGCTCGAGCTGCGGCCTCAGCGGTGTCGACCCCTGCCCCTGGGACAGCTTCCTCGTGCCTGGAATCATGTTGGCCTGCTCCTGGATCGGGGGTGGACAGACCTCCTACCCTGACACGTCGATTAAGGAATTAGAGGGCGTCGCGGCCGTGATTTTTGTGGGTTCAGGTCCGTCGGTTTCGGTCCCAGGCCGTTTTCACTCAAGGGAGGTTTACTGAAGGGAGGTTTGTCCACCGCCGACTGGAGCCCGACAGCGACCTCGGGAGGCGGAGGCGGAAGAAGAGCGCCAGGGCTGCACAGAATACGGCCCTTCGGCTCCAGGTCGCCGGCGTCGAGCCTCTGCCCCGCCGACGCCGCGAGCCTGCTCACAGCGCCACGTCGCGCTGCCCCCGGAGGTCGTTGCACCCCCCCCCCCCGTGGACCGGCGTGGTGCCCCGAGGCGCGCTTGCTGACGGTCCGGGGGGACCGGGCGAGGGCCCCCCCAGAGGCCGAAACTCACGGGCAACCTTCCGTCATGATTTTTTCTTCACGCCTCGCGTATCCCCAGCAGTCACGCTTCGTGTGGGTCTTGCCTCACTTCGGGGGAGCGTAAGACCCGGGTTTGCCAGGACTCGGGTTCGCCATCGTTTTTTGACGACCGCGCCTCGGATTTTGACGAGGAGGAGTTTCGTGGGATGTCTGCAGCGGGAGGCCTCGTCAAAATGCAGGCTCGGCCCCGTCATTTTTTTGACGACCTCGTCGGGGATTTCCGAGTCCCCCGTACCCAGGTCTTACGTCTCCCCGATCAGTGCACATCTTGAGTTCACCAGCATGTTGCTGAGCTGCAAGTGCCCGAGCTTCCTGGACGCCCTCGGTTCGCCGTTCCCCCCGCGCAGTCAGCCGCTGCTGGGTGAGTGGGCCGGCCGGCCTGCAGCGCGTTTGTTTTTGCTAATTTGGCCGCTTTCGTGACCCGTAGCGCTCCTGACTCCGCTAGCGCCTTCGCTGGTGGACGCGACCGGAAAAGTATCCCCAGCAGTCTGAGGCCTCGGCCGGCGCGTAGCTGTTGCCTTGCGCGTCGCCTCTGCCCAATTTGTCTCTGCGTAGCCCGCTTGGGCCTGACTCGCCGCTGGCGCGCTCGCCCGCGGCCGCTGACTAAACCAAATATCCCCAACAGACGCCCCGCCGCTTTCGGTAATTTGTCTTTGCGCGGCCCGCTCTGACTCGACTCGCCGTGTGCGCTTTCGCGCGCGGCTGCTGACAAAAATCCTCAGCAGAGGTACTGCCGTTTGCAGTCCTATCTGTGACGAGGTTGCCCCTCTTTACTCCTGCGCTGACACGATGCAGTTGTGTCGCCTACGGCACGGACGTCGTCTGGGTGTGCCTGCCGGTCCTGCTCGTCTCCGACGGTGCCTTGTGCCGACTCACACCGAGTGATTGACCTCTGCGTATCTATGGTCGCGCCGCCGCGCCATTTTGGCTGCGCTTACTTGCTGGTCGCCACCGGGGTCTCCACGCCGCCGGGTTGGGAGTTTCGTTTCTGGCGCCCCTTCTGAGTGGCTGCCCGCGCGTTCGCTTCGTTTGCCTCTCTTTTCCTGCTGCCCAGTCGCGGCCCGACTAGTGTTCGGACGGCTTTCGGCCCGCCTCGCGAGCCTGTTGACCAGAAAGTATCCCCACCAGCCACGCGTTGTCGGCCAACTCGAATCCCACCATTTTTGTGCTGCACTTGGCCCGGAAGGACTTCCGGGTGTGCGCCCTCCTGTGAGCGGCAGCGAGGCTCTCCTCCTGTTTGCTTCTCTCCCCGTTTGTTCTTGTCTTTTTTTCGCCCCTCCTTCTCCCTGTGCGCGAATCTAGGCCGTTGCCCGAGCGCATCGTTCTTGGACGCCGCCCGACCTCCTTCACCGCGGTCGCGATCAAAGCAAAACCCACCAACCCATTTAGAGACCCTGACCTTGAGAACTGACGGGAAAAAAGGGACGAACGGACACATGTAGTGATACAGACCGAGCAGCCAGGGTGCACAGAGAAATGTTTGGGGCCCCTCTTCGGGCTCGTTTGCGCCATCTTGGAGCTCGTGCCCTCTTAGGGCTCTTTTGAGGGGTCTTGGGTTCTTTTGGAGCTCTTTTGGGGGTTTCGGGGCGCTTTGGGGGCCCTCTTGGGGCCCTCTTGGGGCCCGCTTGGAGCTCTCTTGGGGCTCTGTTGGGTGCCTCTTGGGAGAGCCCTGGAGGGCCTTTGGGGGCTGTCGTGGAAGGTGTCGGTGAAAGGGGGGGGGTACTAACATCTACTCCCCCCATTGTGGGCCATCAAACTAGCATATTGGGTCGCTTTTGGCCCCCTCTTGGGGCGTTCTTGGGCGGTTTTGGGGCCGTCTTTGGGGCATCCCTCTTGGAGCTCTATTGGGCCATTTTGGGGCCACCTTGACGCTTCAAAAACTCATCGGGAGCGAAAAGGCGAGAAGGCACACATCATTGATTTCCTCCGGTTGTTGAAGATTGTGGCTTCTCGGGGAGGTCCTAAGGGGTCTTTGAGGGCACCTGGAATCCGTCTTGTGGCCCTCTTGTGGCGTCTTGGAGGCAATGATGGAGGTCATATTGAGCCATCTTGCGCTATCTGGAGCCCTCTTGAAGGCCATCTTATCTTGGAGCATCGGATGCCCTCTTGGAGCCATCTTGAGCGAAAAAGGGCTTTTTGATGACTCACGACCCCCCCGTCCAGACCCCTGGGAGGGGAGGGGTGGGGTACCCCACCCCGAAGGGAAGAGAGGTTTTTGGAAGAGGGAAGAAAGACATTGTTAGACCACCTGCGCCCAGAGGGCGGGTGGGGTTCTATGCGACGTCTGTTCATGGGACCTACGGCGCGAGAGCGTCTGGGGTGGGCGTCCTGCCCCAGACCCTCAACCTGATGCGTGCTGTCTCCATACCGTCGACCCACAGAGGTCTTGACCCACCCCTCGGGGCCAGTTTCTCGCCCTGAGTCGTCTGATGAAGGTCCCAGGGCCCGGTAAGGGCCCCGGGATGCCGAAGGTTACTGAAAACCTCCCGCCTGTGATTGCTTCGTGGCCCGAGGGGGCCTGGGGCTGCAGGCGTACCGGAGCCCCGCCATCCCCGCCGCGAGCCTGCCGGCGGAGCGGCTGGCCTTCAACCCGGCGCGCCCGGCCGACGTGCCCGTCGTCGTGCGCCTGGAGGCGGCGGCGGAGTCGCCAGAGGAGCAGGCGTCCGTGCACTACGTGTACCTGTCGCTGCGCAGGACTCGGCGACTCACCAGGGCAGCAGCAGCAGCAGCAGCAGCAGCAGCAGCAGCAGCCGTAGTAGCAGTCCGTAGCCTCGATGGCTTAGCAGGCACAGCGCTCACGGGCCTTAAGGCTCCTCTTCTGGCTACGTGCCGGAGGATGTGTGTCAGTAGCTCTGGTGCGGTGCTGCGAGAAAAACATCGTCGGTCGAGGTTTAAGTTTTCACATTGCAGTGACTGCGGGGATGGGCATATGGGGGGATGCATCGACCTCCAATTGCTCCATTGATCGCCGATAGGGGTCTGATTGCCCCACCCGGCCCAGGAACGTGCGGATTCGCTATATAGGGCCTATCGCCGATCTATCCGCGCTGTATCGCCGATTCCAGGTCGATGTTTCCCCCGCCATGGCGGTCCCCCCCTTATCGTTGCCCCTGAACTCCATGGAGGAGCTACTCAGGAATGCCCCGGGTAAGGGGAGCCGGCCAGTGATGGGGTCCCGAGTCCAAAAAATGATGCCAGAATCGCGAAGCCAGGTCTGCCGTACCCTCTGTGTGTTCGGGTGACGGCAGCTCCGCTTTGTGGAATGGGGCGGGGAGGCATCCCCAAGCACACATCACTCAACCAGGCCCCACTAAGCCCAGTCCTGCCAATGCCCGAGCTACCCCCGCAAAGCACCCTAATAGCAGCAATGGCGAAGAGGCGAGGTGGGTCGAGGAGTAGGAGGTCGGCTATAGCGGACAGGGGTCAGAGCACGGCCATCACCTTAATATTTGTTTGAGCAAAGGAGTGTGGCCATCCAGACCCAGCTTGTAGCTGGCATGGAGGCGAGATAGCGATTTCTGAATCAGTTGCGATGAAGTCTCAGGCGAAGTGGTTGCCGGATCAGACGGTCGAGGGCTCCCCGTCCCCCCTGTGTGGGGCTCTTCCATGTTTTTTTTATACCGCTGGCAGAGCCCTCTAGCGAAACGCTGTTCAAGAATACATGCCGACACCGCTACCCTTGCCTCGTTGTCGGCTTTGAAAGGGCTTCCTGGGAGGCCCTCGTCGCCATCGCTGGGTTCGCCTCGAGATCCTGGTGAGAACGCACCCTGGGAGAGGTCCGAGGAGTAGCGGTATCGGCACTTCGGTACCCATTTGTTCCCAAACTACATGTAGGCCGTTATTTTCGACCGACTTGTTTGATTTTTGCACGTTTCTGCTGATCCTCGGCTTTGTGGGCCCCGGAAACGGCAGGGCCGTTTTTTCACCGCTTCCAGAAAAAATGTTCCTTGAAAATGGAAACGGCAAAAAAACGGCGACCGGAAACGGCAAAAAAACGGCTCCAGGATGGGACCCGGCGCCGGAACTGGTCAAAACACGGCGACGGCACCGGGTAAAGAAACGGCGTCGGAACCGGTAAAAAAACGGTAGAACGGAACCGGTAAAAAAACGGCCCTGTCGTTTCCAGGGCCCACTAAGGTCGTGCCTCCTCCTCCCTCTCCTCCTGCTCCTCCATCTCAGCACGACGACGTCCTCGTCGTCGCAACCGCCGCTGCCGTCGCCGTCACCTGGTGAAACCAACAGGCACCTATACTTCTGCTCCCTGGAACTCCCCTGGGGTGCGCTCTGACCAGGATTCCGAAGCGCATCCAATGGTGGCGACGAGGGCCTCCGAGGAGGCCCAAACGTGCGAAAACGAGGGAAGGGTCTTGTCGTTTCCAGGGCCCACGGGGATTCTCCAATCGCAGGGTCCGCTCCAGCAGCTGCGTGCCGAACGGCCGCCAGGAACATCGGGATCCTGTCCCCCGAGGAAGCCAGGCGAGCCTTCGCCGGAGGGACCCTTTTGGCGCAGGCCCACCGCGGCCCCGCGAGCGCCGAGCGCGGTGCGGCAGCGGCGGCTGGCGCGCTCGAGTCCGGCCCCCGGGCCCCCCCCTTGAATGAACCCGTGCGCCCAGGGCCGCTCTCGTCTGCCAGGGGCGGCGCGGGAGCACGCGCCACTGGCCTCCAGAAGCCCTGCGCACCAGAACGGTGCCATCTCTCCCGGGGGGGCCGTGCCAGGGGCGGCGGAGGCGCTCAAGGTTGAATTCTGCAACGCGGGGCTGGCCGCGTGTGCTGCCGGCATCGCTCGGACGTGTGCATGTTTCCTTCGGCGAGGGGCAGCGAGGAGCATCCTTGATCATCTGGCGAAAAAGCCAGGCACGAAACCGAAAAAAGCAGAGGGAACGGACGTCCGAGCGATGGCCAGGAGCCCGGGCCGCTCTCGTCTGCCAGGGGCGGCGAAGGCGCTCACGGTTGTATTCCTGCGGCGCGGGAGCACCGAGCGACGCGATGACGCCATTGGACTCCGGAAGCCCCGAGCACCAGAGCGGTGCCACCTCTCCCGGCGGGGGGGGGTGCCTCACCTCCGCTGGCCTTCTGCGGGCTGCTGCCGGCGGAGGTGAAGTCGTTTTTTCTTCGGCCGCCTGGCGCCAGCCTCCCGCCGCCCTGCGCCGAGGAAGAGGAGGAGGAGGAGGAGGAGAAGGAGGAGGAGGAGGAGGAGGAGGAGGAGGGGGCGGAGGAGGAGGAGGGGGAGGAGGAGGAGGAGGAGGAGGGAGGAGGAGGAGGAGGAGGAGGAGGGAGGAGGAGGAGGAGGAGGAGGAGGAGGAGGGGGAGGAGGAGGAGGAGGAGGAGGAGGGGATGGCAGCTCCTTCGATCCTCGGAAGGCGGGGCCCCTTCTGGAGCGCCGCGTGTGGGCGCACGTGCTGCCAGCGCTCGGCGCTGCCACGGGCAGCGCACGCCGGCCTCTCCGGCCGTGGCCTCCTGCTGCTCCGCGCGGGAGTCTGGCCGCGTGTGCTTAGGCATCGCTCGGACGTGTGCATTGTTCCTCCGGCGAGGACCATCGAGGAGCACCCTTGATCATCTGGTGAAAGAGCCACGCACGAAGCCGAACCAAAAGCACGGGGAAGGGAAGTCCGAGCGGTGGCCGCGTGTGCCGCCGGCTTCTGGGCGTGTCCCGTGCCCCACGAGCGGCCCTCGCCCCGTGTCTCCCCCCCCTTCGGCCGCCCGCCCCCCCCCCTTTTTCCCGACCTCGTGCAGGGCGGCACAGTCCGCTGCAGAGGTGCCCCCGTGCAGTTGGCCCTTCCGCCGGCGCGGTTGCTCTGCCTGGCCGCCGACGCAGAAAGTGTTGCCAGCTTCCTGGTACGATAGGCCCGCGTCGCGTCAACCGACGGCAACCCCGCCGCTGGCGTTCGACGTGGAACGCCGCCTGCGACCCAGAATCGGTCGATGTTGAACGACCTGACGTTTCTGGATCGGCCAGTCGTTCAGACTTGATCGGCGACGAGCGAGGGGGGAACAGGAGAAGTATGAGGCCTTCTCAGAACGCGGCGGGGCTTCTCAGAGGCCCTCCGGCCTTCTGAGAAGTTTTCTGTGTCTTCGGGGAAGGCTTCTCAGAAGGCCGAGGGACTTCCGAGCCTTCTGAGAAGGCCCGCCCCTTCTCACTGCCCCCCCCAGGCTCGCCGCCGAGTTGAACGATCCCCGCGGTGTCAAAAACCGACGTTGAAGTCGGCACGACAGAGGAGGAGGGAGAGGAGGAGGAGGAGGAAGAGGAGGAGGAGGAGGAGGAGGTGGAGGAGGATGAGGAGGAGGACATGGAGGAGGAGGTGGAGGAGGAGGAGGGGGAGGAGGAGGAGGAGGAGGAGGAGGAGGAGGAGAGGGGGGGGAGGAGGAGGAGGAAGAGGAGGAGGAGGAGGAGGAGTAGTAGTAGTAGTAGTATGCTCCAGGAGGACCGTCCGATTCACCTCAGGAAAACAAACTGCCTCTGAGCGTCGAGTTTTCGACCGCCATTGCCCCTACAGGCTACTAGGTATGAAGAGACCCCTGGCCTCTCGGCCAGAAGCCGCGCTGCCCCGAGCAGCGGCCCCCCCCAGACGGCGCGCAGCCAGGGTGGGGGTGCTGCTTCCAAGGGGACCGATCGTCATCACTTCCCAGCCCCCCGCCTCCCAGCTCCACGGAGGATTGAACGCATCGGCGCCATGGGGCCGTCCTCAAGAAGGGCTCTCTGTGACCCCCCGCACTGCGTGCATGTGTATGGAACCCCAGGTACAGTATCAGTGTGTGCTGCACAAGCTGGGGCTGGAGGAGGAGGAGGAGGAGGAGGAGGAGGAGGAGGAGGAGGAGGAGGAGGAGGAGGAGGAGGAGGAGGAGGAGGAGGAGGAGGAGGGGAGGAGAGGAGGAGGAAGGAGGAGAGAGGAGGAGGAGGAGGTGGAGGAGGAGGAGGAGGAGGACATGAACCTGCCGTTTGGCCACTCCTGCGTGTCGCCGAAGGACCCCGCCGGGGTGCGACCTGGGCGAGGGCGCTGTGGTGCGCCCGCCGCCGCAGTGGCGCGCGGAGGTCTTCGCGCAGAAGCTGCAGTACGGCGGGGGCTGCTTCGTGCTCTTCGACGTCTTTGGCGCGGCCTCCGAGCTGATGGGCACACGTTCCACCTCGCCACTACTGTAATCATGTAGGACGGGGGAGAAGGGAGGATGAGGTGCTCCTCCTCCTCCTCCTCCTCCTCCTCCTCCTCCTCCTCCTCCTCCTCCTCCTCCTCCCCCCTCTCCTACCTATGGTAGTGGTGGTGGAACATGGGCCCATCACGGGCGTCCCGCGGCCGCGGAGCAGGGCAGCGGCCAGGACTGCGTCATCTGCCTGAGCGAGCCGAGGGACACGGCGGTGCTCAAGGGGCGTCGGCGTCACGCCCACACCAGCCGTGGCCGCGCCTTGCCGACCTGGGATCGAGGGCCGATGTGTGTGTGTGTGTGTGTGAGGGCGTGTTTCTTTCGACACCCGCAAGTTTACTGGCATGGAGAGTGTGTGTGTGTGTGTGGCGAGGCCCGGCAGGACATCTGGGCTTTACGCAAGTCGGGATACACCTGCACGCCTTGTCGGCCCAGCGCTGTTTGAAATGGCGGCGGAAGGGGGAGGAGTTGGGTAGCGAATCACGGGAGCCTTGTGAGCTCTCGTCATTCCGGCTTGAGGGTGCCTTAGCGTCGGTTAGCCTTTGGTAATCGATGAGATAGCGCGGAGTTAGCGGGTTCGGAAGAGTCTCGCTGTTCCTCACGGCCTGGCGTGGTTGCACCTCTGCAGTCGAGCATCTGCTTGTGGAGCCTTCAGAGCAGCTGGGCCAGCATTTTGTGACCGACTTGCCAGAAAAGCTGGCCCGGCTTCTTGGTCACGTTCGCCCCTCCAGCGTTGACAGCAGAAGCTGGCCCAGGTTTGGTTTCAGAAGCTTCCGGGGAGCTGGCCCAGATGTCTTGCATGACTGCTTTCGTGATCGTTTTTTCGGCTGTATCTCTCCTTGTGCATCCAGGCGCTTTCGGTGCTAACCAGTGGTTCGGTCCTTTTTTAGCGTTCCTTCTGGTAGTAGTTTGACTGTATGGAATTGTTTTGCCGTTTGTAACCTTTTGGAGGGCCTGACTGCTGGCCCCCGACACCATCAAGAGACGGCGCAGGATGCAAAGCCGACCCTGGGAAAGCGTCAAGACTTCCTGGGGATCCCGTGATACAAACTCAATGCGTCACATCTCTGGTTACCCACCCATATCCAACTGCCCACGGTAAGTCCCGCCACCGTGCCAGCCCAGCATTCTGGGTGGAGACTGCTCGAGTGGCCACAGGAGGCCGTCACGTTTGAAACCTCGTGTCTCCAGACTTGGGAGGGCCTTTTGATGATGCTGGTGATAATGCTGATGATGCTGCTTCTGATGATGATGATGATGATGATGATGATGATGATGATGATGATGATGATGATGGTGATGGTGATGGTGATGGTGATGGTGATGGTGATGGTGATGGTGATGATGGTGCTGATGATGCTGATGATGCTGATGATGATGTTGATGGTGAGGTGATGGTGATTGTGATGGTGATGCTGCTGCTGATGCTGCTTCTGATGATGATGATGAGGAGGAGGAGGAGTAGGAGGAAGAGGAGGAGGAGGAGGAGGAGGAGGAGGAGACACCTGTCGCCTTCACTATTTGAGACGCTCTCATGGAGCTCGTGGGGGCCGTCTCGTGGCCGCCTTGGCCTCCTGTGAGCACGTCTTGGGGGTCCCTTGGGGCCCTCTTAGGCCGTCTTGGGTCCCTGTTAGGCCGTCGGGGTGCTCGCTTGGGCCGTCTTGGGGCTCTCTCCGTAGTAGGGTGGGCGCCTGGGGGCCATCGTGGGGCCGCCTTGGCGCCGTCTTGGGCAGTCGAAGGGCCCTTTCAGGCCGTCTTGGATCCCACGGGAAGCCCTCTTGGGCCGTCTTGGGCCGTCTCGGATTCCTATTGGGCCCTCACGGGGTCATCTTTGGACCATCGTGGGGGCCTCTGGGGCCGTCTTAGGGCCATCGTGGAGGCTTCTGGGGTCGTCTTGAGCTGACGGAAGCCCGAAACGCGAGAGAGCGAAAATCATTCCAAATCTAAGGGCAATCGATATTTCGGTTTCCTCGGGCCTTGTTGGAGGGCCTCTTGGGGCCCACTTGGGCCCTCTTGGAGGCGTCTTGGGCCGTATTGAGGCCACATCCGCCCGCCTTGGGGCCATCATGGCCCGTCTTCGAGGCATCTTGGGCCACCTTGGTTGTCTCTTTGCTGCCTGCCTGGCCCGTCTCGGAAGCTCGGGGCGCAGACACATCGTTTATTATTATTATTATTATTATTATTATTATTATTATTATTATTATTATTATTATTATTATTATTATTATAGTATTATTATTATTATCAGTGTTATTATTATTATCAATAATATGATTAGTATGATTGTTATTGCTATTGCTATTGTTATGTTATGTTATGTTATGTTATGATTGTTATTACAACTATTATTGTTATCATTATCATTATTCTCATATAAGAAAGGAAGAAGAAAATATACTCCTGGCCCATAGTTTTCGTAGGATGGATCGGGGCCTCGGGAGCAGGGGGTATGCATGTGGTTGTCTGCGGGTGGTCTCCCTCAGGAGAAGACAACAGCTCTACCGAGCAGCACCCGACACTCCAAGACGCCCGCGTCGTGCAGGCACGGTGGCGGGCCCCGACGTGGTGTTCTTCCCCACGGTAGGCCCCCGACGGCCTTGACCTCTTCTCCGGGACTGGCTTTTCCACCCGGCGTCTTTCCTGCCTATCTCGGGGGTGGACAGAACCCCCACCCTGACACGCCGACTAGTGAATTGTCCGTTTTTGGCTCTCGAGAGGGCGCCGCGGTCGTCATTTTCCAGGCTTGCGCCCGCCAAGTTTGGGCCCGAGGTGGTTTTCACTAAAGCACGTTTTGCTGAAGGGGGTCCTGTCCATCCCCGACTATCCTGGCGCCTTGTCAGGCCACCCGGACGCGGAACATGGCCAGCGACCTTCCGTCGCACTTTCGCGACTTGAGGGTGCCTGTGGCCGAGGGCAGGGGTGGACCTAAACGGTGTTTTGGCGATTTCGTGGGCCGGTTTCGTTTCGATTTCGTTTTGCGTTAAGGGCGGATTGAAAACAAAACGAGGGAAAACGGAAACAAAACGAGAACGAAAAACACCGTTTAGGTTCAGCCCTGGCCGAGGGTCTCGAGTCGACCCTGGGCCCCGGTGCGTTCTGGCCAGGACTTCGAGGGCAGCCAGCTGGGGCGATGGGACGCTCCCCCCCAACAAAAACCGAAAGGTTAGGTGTTCGCTTGGGGGATCTCGCTGGGGGGCCCCTAATTGGAGAAGGACAAGTACACTGTTTGGGCCTCCTGGGGTGGTCCTCGTCGCCACGGCTGGATTCGCCTCGAAACCCTGATCAAAACGTACCCAGGGAGAGGTCCAGGGAGTAGCGGTATCGGTGTTTTTTTTTGGGCTTCCCCACGAACGGATCTGTTCCACTGATGCTCCACTCTGGTTCGACTCTAGCTCGACTCTAGCTGGACCCCAGTTCGACTCAAGTCCGAGTCAAGTTCGACTCGAGTCGACGAACGTTTGGCGCAGCGCCAACGCAGGAGTAGAGCGAGTTGCTCCAGGAAAGGGTTTCAGCACGAGCATCGAAGTCGGGGCGGAAGGTATCCGAAAGCCTTGAACCCAAGGTCCAATTGTATCCGATCGATCCGATTCGATACTGTTTCCGGCCACCAGCTCGATCCGACTCGATTTCAATGTTCCGACGATGCGATGCGTTCCGAGGCTTGCAGGGAGCATCTGTGCAACCCGGCGCAGCAGCTCTGATTCCGACCCCGACTCCGTGCCGATGCGGCCTGATCCGACGCCCCGTCCGATCCGACCCGAGCTTCCGAGGCGCTGCCGACGGATCCTGCGAGCCTCAGCGTTCCAGGACACTTTACCTAACAGCGTAGACTGATAGGTTTCTAGTTGACTCAAAAGAGCTCACAGATCACTCCACAGGGGGGTCCGGGCAGGCGTTGGGAGTTGCCGGCCGGCAGGGTGCCGGGCCTGTGCCGGGCTCGTTTTTCACCAAAGTCACACACTTCGTGCTCGTCGACCTCTCAGAACCCCATTCCCAGGCCACATTCTGAATAACCGGATGCAACAGTCACACTTCGTGCTCTTCGACTTCCCAGAACTCCATTCCCGGGCCACATTTGAATGCCCGGAGCCAACTGTAGGCCACTTCGTGCTCTTCGAGTTCCCAGAACTCCATTCCCGGGCCACATTTTGAATGCCCGGAGCCAACTGTAGGCCACTTCGTGGTCTTCGAGTCCCCAGAACTCCATTCCCGGGCCACATTTTGAATGCCCGGAGCCAACTGTAGGCCACTTCGTGCTCTTCGAGTTCCCAGAACTCCATTCCCGGGCCACATTTTGAATGCCCGGAGCCAACAGTAGGCCACTTCGTGCTCTTCGAGTGCCCAGAACTCCATTCCTGGGCCACATTTTGAATGCCCGGAGCCAACTGTAGGCCACTTCGTGCTCTTCGAGTTCCCAGAACTCCATTCCCGGGCCGCATTTTGATGCTGATGCAGAGGCTGAGAATGGTGATGCTGATGCTGAGGCTGAGGCTGAGGCAGGCAGGCTGAGGCTGATGAGGCTGAGGCAGGCTGAGGCTGAGGCCGAGGCTGAAGGCAGGCTGAGGCAGACGCTGAGGCAGGCTGAGGCTGAGGCAGGCTGAGGCTGAGGCTGAGGCTGAGGCAGGCTGATGCTGAGGCAGGCTGAGGCTGAGGCTGAGGCTGAAGGCAGACTGAGGCTGAGGCAGGCTGAGGCAGACGCTGAGGCAGGCTGATGCTGAGGCAGGCTGAGGCTGAGGCTGAGGCTGAGGCTGAGGCGGATGCAGGCTGATGCTGAGGCAGGCTGAGGCACAGAGGCTGAGGCTGAAGGCAGACTGAGGCTGAGGCTGAAGCAGGCTGAGGCTGAGGCTGAGGCAGGCTGAGGCTGAGGCTGAGGCAGGCTGATACTGAGGCAGGCTGAGGCTGAGGCTGTGACTGCGACTGCCGTTGCCACTGCGACTGTCATCGCGAATGCGACTGCG